GGTGGACTTGCTCAAAGGGAAGAAGTCTGTGGGTTGCAAGTGGATGTTCACAATAAAATATAAGGCAAATGAGACAACCGATAAGACAAAGCAAAAGGCAATATCCGAAACTATGGGATAGATTATCAAAAGATATTTGCACTAATAGGTAACATGAATAAGATGCAGGTTTTGCTATTCTTAGCTGGTCATTTTTTATTGGTAACTGTAACAATATGATATGAAGAATACATTTCTATAAGAAAATATGCGAGAAAAAATTTATATAGATCCGATTAGGATTTGACAAAGAGGGGACCATATAAAGTTTGTGAATTAAAGAAGATACTCTATAGACTCAAACGATGACCTAGAGCATGGTTTGGTAGATTTGCAAGAGTGATGATATGTTTGGGATACAAGCAAGTTTAAGGGGACCACACTCTATTTATTAAGTATTCTGAGACAGGAGGAGTTATAACTCTATTATTACACATCATATGACATTATTGTAAGAGGAGATGATGAGAAAAAGAAATTGATGCTCAAACAATACCTAGTTAAAGAATTCGAAATCAATGAGTCAGGTAAGTTGAAATACTTTCTGGGAATTGATCACGCTTGCTCAAAATAAAGGATCTTCATATCTTAACGTAAACATATTCATGACCTGTTGTGAGATATAGTCAAACTATCATTTAAGTCAGTATTCTTATCAATCACAATAATCAACTGGGACTGACATAGAATAATACACTAGTAGATAATGAGATGCATTAGAGATTGGTGGGGAGACTGATATACTTATGTTACATAAGGCCATACATCTTCTATGTAGTAAGTATAGTCAGTTCATGCATAAACCTAAAGAAGTATACTTAGAGGCAACCTATAGAGTGCTACATACCTTAAAAGGTCACCTAAAAAGGGATCATGTATAGGAAAAATGACAAGTTGTTCCTAAAAGTCTATACGGATGTAGATTGCCTTAGGTTGGTAGTGGAGTTGTTGTACCTTTCTTGAGGGTTACTTGGTTACTTGGAGGAGTAAAAAGTAAAATGTAATTGCAAGATCAAATATAAAATTAGAATTTCGAGCAATAACTCAAGAGTATTGTGAATTACTATGACTAAAGAAATTTTAGGAG